CTATGCTTTTGCACGATACGATGAAATGTTTATCCCGAAAGAAATATCGTCAAATCTTGATGTGCACATGCGCAGCTTGAATACCGAACTGGCTTATTCACAGAACTAATTATTGCCACTTACCCTGTAAACATCTGAAATGTGCACTGTGCTCCTTTTCTCCACGGTAACCAAGGCCTTCCTTGTGAGGGCGTGCTCCGCAGACACACTCTGCCTTAAGAGTACAGTTATATCTCCAGAAGAATTAGAAAGAAGAAAACCTCTTCAACTATGATCAAAATATTGTACCCTTTCCTTCTGACGACAGTCTTTCTTGGTAATGTTTGGGGCGCTGTCTACGACTTGGCTAGCTCGCACGGCTGGGTCGTTTTGATACATCAACTCCGTTTTCTCGAAATAACTAACCGAGGCCATTGTGAACCCTGTCTTTCTCCGACAGCCAGTTGTCATTTCATTAATAAAAGGGATCAGGAATCTTTATTCCACCAAAACGAAGTACGTGTAGCTCTGAAACAAAGCTGCGATCCATGTGCGTCTTCATTGCCTTCAATGGAATGTTCGGCTGAGAAGCTTGGAGCTCATTCTTCCCGCCTGTAGTTTTTTGACCTCTTAATCTCTTAAAATCCTTAGAAAACATTAAGATTCCAGAGCTCAATGACATTAAAGGCCAAAGCAGAACTAGGAAGGTATTCACAAAGAATATGAAGGTATTCACAGATATCTCTTTTGGGAGAAAAAAAAAATTGAAAAGCGGACCATGTAACAAGAAAACACGGCTGATTTCGTTGACGACATTCGCACGTGTTCTCAATTGCGAGTTTTATCTGAAGTGACCCTTGACACAGTCCCATAATGCTTTGCGAACGTGAGATTCAGAAGTTGCTTACTGTCAGCAGACTTTAAAAAATCGGGAGTACAAAATTCAGAGACATCACTGGAGACTGTGAGTTGCTGAGTTGCTTCTACTACGAACACCGCAAAATACTGAGTTAAAGGAACTCGATGCAACGATAACAAATTTGACCACTCAAATCCACAATCCCTCTTGATTGCGCCATTTGGGGCGCTATTAGACAATGTCATGTTTCCGAGATAATTGTTGGAAATATCATTCACAGTAGTTTGTGATGATGCAAACGACTGGAATATTTATTTTCTTGTAACGGACCAATTCTGCCTGTCACTCCATAAGTGCGAACTGACCAATAAGATCACGAACTTTTAGTAGGGTGACCTACAGGAGAGCTCGATTGAACTCGGTCACAAGCACACACAACCGAAGTTGGGCTGGGCTTATAGCGGGGACTAATATTGAGCCGTTGAGGGCGCTGTTCTTCATTCCAGACTTGTTTCCAGTCACACAACGCTGCTTCGCGGGAGGCATGAGCTCTCATTGTTGTGGAACCATTGACACCACTGATCTCTATAAAGACTGGATAGCGGATATGCATACAACATTCACACAGTAGACTTTGCATATTGACCAATTCGCCCCCGGTCTCACGAAGATGGCCGCGCATAATACGAACGTTCTACGCGTAAATACGCGCGCGTTGTATCAACAGTTGACGCGCATTTTGGTCACGTACACATATTATGATGTTCTAAAAGGAACACATTTCCGTAGTGATTGTTATTTCAAAAACGCCGAAAAAGTGATTTGCGGCATTATAAAAGTAACCACAACGTTAGAAAAATTGTAGTAAACCTTGGTCAGTTGGTCAGTGGTGGTGGTCAAAATATAAGTCAGGTGAACCGCGACATTACAAAAGAAATCATGCTGTCTATAAAGACGGCAACTTGTCCTTTGTAGATCACCAGCCGGTCTCACCAATATGGCATCAAATTCGTACATTGTGTGGCTCTTTATTAGCTATCCAGTCTTTATATAGAGATCAGTGATTGACACCAGTGTGATATTAGCAGTTTGGGTTGAATTAGCAGTCTCTAAAGACCTTGTTATACCTGTGACGTTATACCAACAGGCAACCCAAATATTTAAGCATCTTTTGCATGTTACATTGCCCACAATGCCAACGATATTTAGACGGAGGGGTGGATGAGGTGCTGCGGTCAACGCATAATGGACCAAAGGCCTTAAGCAGTGACTCAAGATTTGCTATATCGATGAACGACGATTATTTATTTATTCAACATCCACCTTGCCCAATAAGCCTTTTCGGAGTTCCAACTGCGCATTCGTAACATGTGACAACGCGCATTATTTGTCTCAAATGCCCTTTGACAGTACCCACAATGCACAAACAGCCTTTTTGTAAAGTCAGTGGCGCGATGATGTCAAAGGCCATTTGAGACAAATAATGCGCGTTGTCACAGGTTACGAATGCGCAGTTGGAACTCCGAAAAAGGCTTATTCAGGCGATCCACAATGTAGTGCGCCACCGAGAGTTTGCCACGGAGAGTTTATTTTTCCCAATGCATTGTGGGAGATGGTCGACAAATTCGAAGTGCGGGATATTGAAATTGTTAGCTTGTCCGGTCAGTAGTTTCGTTAGCGTATGATTCGAGTATCTGTTTGCCCCTTTCTCTTCTGTTTATCAATATTTGTGTTTTTTTGGTAAGGCGGCCGAACGCCCTGCCCCAATCTATAACAAATTAGCTCAAGTTGTCTACTGACACTCGTTCAAATGGGCCTTGTTTTGTCGACCGTAAACTTGACAAATGGACTCTCCGTGGCAAACTCTTGGTGGCGGACTGTATTGTGAATCGCCCGAATTAAAGATATAAGTTTGCCTTGTATCACCAAAGCCAATTATGTGTTGAAATGCTGGATTCAACACGAAAGAAACAAGAACACGGTTTACCTTTGTAGTAAAATATTAATAATTTATTACAACTTCAGCGAGATTCAATTCGGCATTCTTAATAGAAAGCCATAACAGGATCAACTTGTGCTTCTTGAAATCCTAGATTTCATAATTACAAATTAATATTCACATTTTTACTTCGGCGTTCTTTTTTTTAAATTTATTTTCAAAACCCAACATGCATCAGAAAAGATTGATTTCAGTTTGACACAAAAATTAATAGGAAACAAAAGAAGTGTTGGGTTAAAAAAGAAACTGCCTAGATTTGTGTTAAATTTGCGTTTAAAACTACTGAGATTTGCGTTCCCCGTGCTCTTCAACGAATTCTTTTTTTCTTCATAAATTTCAACGTGTGTGTTTTATTTAAACCAAATAAAGGGTTTTTTGAGGGGGGGGGGGGCTGAAACGCTCTAAAAACACCTTGTATATCTACCGGATCACAGATCAGGGGCAGGTACCGTCGTCAAATAGTGCAATTACATACCTCGTTTACCGTCAGTAAGGCTATTACAACATGTGAGACTGAATCTATAGTAAACACCGTGACGCCTATGCGAATACCGACTTCATGCATCGGCGGCACAGAGAAATTTAAAGAGACTGTTTCCCGCCGTCCGCCTAGTCTTGGCCCAAGACTGAATCTTTTTTGTTTGTTTCTTGTGGTGGACACCTACAGCGCCACCTACTTGTCCTCATTGCGTTCAAATAAATTGGGCTGTATCAAATGTCAGCTTGACCCTATCTATCTTTTTTGGAATCAACTCAGCTGACAACTCCAACTGCTTGGTTTACGAACAACCTACTATTAAGTAGAACGTCGCTATAACGAACAGCGCTATAACGAACATTCCGATATAACGAACATTCCAAAATTAATGCATTCGGGTAAAGTTTCGTGCAAGAGCTGGAAGGTTGAACTTTGACATGACACAGGCTACATCCGAATCAACTGTCTAGAGCTAGGTCTAGGTCCATGCCCATTGAATATACGAGGGGACGCGATGACAACGAGTAGCCGTAGCTCTGGAAGCCTGTTTCGGACACGGCCTGGGGCGCCCGCCGGACGTCACGTTGGCAGCCATGTTTATTGCATGGCCTTATGGGATACTTAGGCTTGAGTAAGCGCGAGAACTCACGTGAGAGGTCAATCGAACGCTGTCGCGCCTGCACGAGTAAGCGCGGGGGAAGTAATCGAACGCACTCAATGAAACAGTATGTCCACGGCAGAGTCTAATGTATGGACCATTGAAATCCATCACGACCACGACACACGCAACATTGGAAGGTCCGGGAAACACTGACCAAAGTAACAATGGTCAAAAGAGGGCGCCGCAATCTGAAAATCGCAGGTTGTCAAACGCCGTGGAACATTAACTGTTTACGTTTTGAGTGGTCAGTATACTTTAATCAGAAACCCCATGCATTGCCTAGTTGATGGTCTTATAACTAATTTAAAGACAGAGTAAATTATAAAGTAAAATTGGTGCCATTGTCCCTATTGATTCGAGCAAAGGTCAGAATTAAAAACAAAACTATAATAATTGTGTTCTTTTCATAAAAATGACTTCCCTCACGATATTTGTAAAACAAAATTATAAATATAACAATATCGATGTGGTATTGGTGTGTCTTATCGTCAATAACACTTAAAACAGTGAAAACAATATAAGTATGTAGTGGGAAATGGGTATCTAGTCACATACATTCTCAGACACTCTAAAAACAACATATTGACCCAGAATCTGGATTCTACTTGGCTCAACCCTTTTCTGGGTCCAAAAAAAACGACCCTTTTCCGGGGAAAAAAATACACTTTTTCGGGTCAAAAAATACATTTTTCAGGGTAAAATAATGACACTTTCCGGGTCAAATACAATACCTTTCCGGGTAAAAGATGATACTTTTTCGAGTCAAATACAACAACTTTCCTGGTCAAAAATTACACTTTTTTGGGTCAAAAATGACGCTTTTCCGGGTCAAAATGACACTTTTCCGGGTAATTTTCCGGAAAAGTGTCATTTATGTCACGGAGAAGGGTTGAGCCAAATAGACCCGGATTTTTTTAGAGTATATACCTTTTTAATGAATCTTTAGGTTAATTTTTTCCAATACATATGCAAAAAGATTTATTTTCTCAGCTATTTGAACAAACAGTTTGCGGCAAACGCGTAATTTATTTATCGTGGTTTTCTTTTTAATAATGATCATGATAACAGCGTCCATTATTCTCTCAGTGAAGGCCTACCCCGAATTTAGAGGGTATCTAACTTTTATATATAAAAATTAAAAACAGTTGCTTATTGCCATATACATTCATAAACAATAATTTATAAGGTCTACAACTACATTTTGTTTACATTTTAATGTCAAATAATAACAGCCGGGCAGTTGTTCAGCAGTTTCCCTTATTAGGCACATTTTTTTGGTTTACTTATTTCAATAAATACTCATGAAAATTCGAGGCTAACGGCAAAATATATACAAATATACTTTGGCACGATCTTTCGTATTTCTTTTACAGTTTTTTTTATACAAAATTATAATACAAGACTACAGTAGTATGCACGTTTTGGACTCCCTGTGATTCGACATGCGGTTGCGCATGCGCCTGGGGCTTGACGTTGCGCCTGCGCTGCGTGACGATCTAGCGCCCTCACTGTCCACTGGGCTTCTCCCTTTAGCCTGTGACAGCTCCCTGTACACCGGACATTTGGGTCTCTCCTCACTCGTTGGCTCACTGGAACTTGAAGCTTCATAATAAAAACAAAACAAAAGTACATCACGTTTCGGACTAACTCCTCCTGACTTGTGTGTGATTTATTACATGTACGGTGGCAGGATTCTTGATCTTCAATTCGGGCGATTCACAATGCAGTGCGCCACCAAGAGTTTGCCATGGAGCGTCAATTTTTTCAGTTTAAGGTCGACAGAACATGGTCCATTTGAATGAGTGTCAGTAGACAACTTGAGCTAATTTGTTATAGATTGGGACAAAGCCTTCTGCCGCCTTACAGAAAACATAATATTGATAAAAAGAAAAGAAAAGGGCAAATATAAACTCGCATCATACGCTTACGAAACTACTGGCCGGTAAAACCAACAATTTCAAATCTCCTGCGCTGCGAATTCGTCGATCATCTCCCTCAATGCACTGGAAAAAATGAACTATCCGTGGCAAACTCTTGGTGGCGCACTGCATTGTGTATCGCCCGAATTCGAAGACAGACAATTTGATGTTTTCGACTTGCTCCCAGAAGAACATCCAAAGCACACAAACACGACGGGACTAAAATACAAACCTTCAAGACACTGTGACAGTGTTTCTGTTAATTTTGTGCTCTTCAAAAATATACGTTGTTTCAAGGGCTGGGTGTGTTATTTTTGAAACGCAGTCCGAACACAAATAAGTAATCCACAATCGTTTAAATCACCAAAACAGCAATGCTTTCATTTGCAGTCGCACAAGTCTTTAATTAGTATCACACAAAAAAAGTACAATACAGACCACTCAAGTTTCTCAATTCTTTTTGTGGTCAAAATGTACTTTATGACCATGAGGTTGATGACTTACTAACGCCAAGATCTGACGTTGTGTGGAACATATGATGTGGTTTCCGAGGTTCAAAAGAAGGTGCCGAAGCACAAATGGAATTTTGTTGTTGGATGAAAATCAACTTTTATCTGACCACTCCTCAAGAAGCAGTCGTAAAGTCTATCACGAGCAAATATAGCCCATCGGGCTGACGTTTATCTCCGGTTTCCCTGGCATGAAACAACCGAGAATGTTTTCATTCCCCCTGGATGGGATGCTAGTCCATCCCAGGTATACTCCCCAGCTAATGCCGGTGTAGCATGAATTTAGGTTTTATGAAATACGGACTCCTTGGCGGTATTGCGCATGTTCATGCATAGATAATTACGAGAGGGACCGGTCACGTGAGAGGGTTTAATCCATAAAAGGGGAAAAGTCCGATGTTCATAGGAGTCCGATTCTCATTTCACACCGGCACATATTTATACTCATGGGTTGAAAGAGGCAAGTGGGGATGAAGTGGCTTGCCCAAGGACACAACATAATGATCAGCAGCTGGATTCGAACCTCTGACTCTCTGATCATGAGTCACGAACCCTTGCAACCGCTAGGCCACACACACCCTATCTCCTCAGGGACAATAACAAAGGTCAAAATAAAAACAAGGTACGGTACCTGAGGTCCCGGATGAAGTCTTGGCAGTGGACGAGGGTTTGGGCACTCTGTATGGAGTGCGGTTCTTGTCGTTATCAGGGTAGTACATGGGAACGACTTTCAGTTCGTCGCTGACTTTAGGCCCAAAGCCAACTGATAAAATAATCAGAGAAATAATGCTCTTTAATTAACATATTGACGGTAGTGTCATTCTAACAGGTCTAAATGGGGTTACAGATGAGAGGTTAAACGAGAGCTGTACCCGATGTGTCCAACGTAGCACCAATATAAACAAAAATCAGTGTAGGTAGGTACGCGGCGTACTGAAATAACGGACCACTTAGACACTTTGAGAATAGAACTAAAAACAAATTGGCGCTTTTCCAATCCTAAAGGGGCCCCCTGCCCCAACAAAAACAGTTGCCTTTGTTTATGTGACGTCATCGGCACAATAACATATAACCTACCAGCCGCTCCAGACGCATCCACAATTTTCTTGTTTTTTTTTGTAATCATTTGAGGATTAAAGTTCAATGTTTATATCAAAAGATTAAATACGAATTCCGTTCATGATAAAGAAATATTGGCATAGGCCTAACGGAATAAAAAAAAATCATGATTTCCCGACTATCCTGTCAAAAGTGTGGGATATATTATGCTGCTTTTCCACAAGAAACAATATAAATAAACACATGAAAACGTATACAATGTAAATCCCGTCTAATACGTGCATCCCTTGAGCCGAGATTCCATACCGACATGAGAAACGCAGAGAGCAACACAAACAAGACCCAAACTGCAACGCAGACATAATGAAACTGTTCCATCCAAAACTGTCACCGACAACGCAGACAGACGCAAACTATCTCCCACACGATCGGCTGCCGACGGTTCGGCGCACTGTCTGTGCAGACTACGTATGCTTAACGTCGATATGGAAACTAGGCTTAACATATTGAATCTAAACAAATCTTGTAAGGGCCACATTTAACCAAAAAACAGCACATACCTCCGATGTATCTGCCGGCTGTTAAGAGCGGTGTGTCCGGGGGCGTCTTCGTCTTGTCTGTCTTCTCTGGGGTCGATCCTCTACTGGAGTCAGCCTCGTTCTCTCTGTACGTGCCCAGGATCTCCTCTATGGTGGCGCTGTCGTTCCCCTCCAGGAAGTAGGTGTTCATCAGGCCTTTGCCCTTGATGACGATCTCTCCCCGGTTCTCAAAGCGGAAGGCTCGCTCCTCCAGACAGCTGTTATGGTGGGCATAGTGATATTAATATGATTAAAGGTAATAATAACAATAATAATGGTTTCTTGTGTAGCGCTCATGTCCGACACGAAGTGACACTCCTGGCGCTCTATTATACCCAGGCTTCAGCACGGCTGCCACTACGGCGCTCAAGCCCTTGATGGAGTTTCTTCCTACCAGGAGCCCATTTACTACACCTGGGTGGAGAGAGGCAATTGTACTATAGTGCCTTGCCCAAGCGCACAAGCAACGTGTTCCCCGTCAGGATTTGAGCCCATGTACCACGGCACACGAGTCACACGACCCATAATACAAGTCATAAAATGATTTGCTCTTGGTGCATTTTCTTCCTTTGGAAGCAACAAGATACTAAGAAGGGAGTATAATAAATAATTTGTTAAAGTTTCAGCTCAGTAGACACACCACACTTTGAGAAAACGGAGAAAGCGTAGGCACAACTGTGCCCGCAGGCACATTTTTTCAAACCACCTTCAATGATTGTTTCCTTCCGAATGATAGGCCTACCATTTCAGGCGGAATAATTTCACATGCTATTTGGTACCAGTCCTATCTTCACTTTGAGTTGGGATTTTCTGGTTTAATCATTGCAAATGTTCCTAAATATTTGAGGATCAGTCTTGTATTATGGCAATATGAGCGATTAGCAAATACAGAGCGCCATCAAGAGGCTACTATAAATAGTCCACTTTTGCAGCGCATTATGGGAAAAATGAAATTCGCGCGTAAAACCTATAGAGTTTATTCACGGGTTGGCCATATTAAATTGAAAGCGAGGTAAACTCTTCGTATTTGGAACTTGCGAGTAGAAATGAAAGCAATGAAATAATAGTGCATTACAAATTAATACCAGTCTGCTCTGATGTATAATTTTAAAACGTGCCCTAATGTTTTAAGCCACATTTAAAAAAATAGTCTGGCAACATACCATTCACCAATGTACAATTTATAAAATAGATTCAGGGAACACAATCGAAAATGGTCGATAAGGTCTATTGTGTAGCAATGCATGGTAACAACGAAACACAAGTGAATCGCAACTGGATAATGCACGCGAGGTGTCCATTGAAAAGTGGTGCCTTCGAGACACACGCCAGAAGACTGGCATTCAGAAAAATGTTAAGCAAATGAGTTGGTATTTTGTCTAATGTTGGTCAACATACGAACTGCCTATACACTCTTGGGCAAATTCTTTCTAACCGTTGACACATTTTACCCGAATTAACCAACAATTGAGGCAATTTGTACTATACAGAAAGAAAGCAACTTTTCTTTACGGTAACTAAGACCGTTACTTTACCTGTAAGTGGTTGAGCTGATGTGAATCTTGTACGGGACACCGTGGCTCTCCATTCGGGACGCCGTGTTGACCGTGTCCCCGAACAGGCAATACCGGGGCATCTTCTCGCCGACAACCCCCGCTACGGCCGGACCCGAGTGGATACCAATTCGTATCTGCAGGTGCAAACGTGTGTTTATCAAAGAAGGAAAATATATTATCAACTCAAATACTTGGCATTGCGTGTACGTTCTGTCCATGTTGCACAATCGATCGTTCCTCGTGAGACCAGTTTCCAATTTCAAGAATAAAGTGTGGTACCGTGGTTCGTACAAAACGAATGACTTTTTGGAAGAAGGTTTCGTCATTCAGTCCAAAAAGTGTTATACCTTAAGGCACAGTAACAAGGAAGACATAAGAGTTTGACATTCACAAAGGGACGATCCTTTCTACCTAACCCCTTAAATTTCACACTAATTGGAAAAAACATTAGTACGGGATGCATAAAAAGCAAAGAATCGCAACAAGGATCAGATGCAGAAGGCTATGGCGCAACTACAAGATTGCAGCAGCCGATTTCAACTCCGCTGGCGCCACAATTTATTGCGTAAGTTGCGCAACATTTCACGCTGCGCTTCATTTCACTTATGACACATTTCACGAAAGTTTCATAGTGCGTAAGTCCGCGACTTGCGCAATAAATTATGGCACAACTTGCGCAATCATTTTAGGTGGCGTAAATTGTGGCGTATAGCGACTGAAAATAACCTATTTTACAAGTAAATCGTGATTCGTGATCGTCAAGGAGTCTGTCATTGCACAACTTATATATGTTGATACAAGACACTCACAGCTTTGTGTTTGAGGTACATTAATTGTTCTTTTACTCGTGACAAAATGTTTAGAGTTGTCGCACAATTCCGAAGAAAGTCGGACAAAATTATTTTCAAAAGGGCGGGCTGAGGTGATTCAACGAACGTTTCGTGAACGAACAAATTTATACACGAACAGCCGTCGTCAATGTTGTTATTATCCTCGTCCAAGATATTAGATTATTAAAACCGTTGCGCCGCTATGCCAAGTTTCGTGAAATCGATCGGAAGTTTATTGCGCAGCTGCGCAACAACTTTGTAGCGTAAGTCCTACGCATGGCGCGAGCTACGCACTTTTTCGTGAAATCGGCTGCAGTAGACGTCCTATTGATGAAAGCGTTTTGAGTTTGTTTTCGCACCGTGCACGTATTCCTATCGCTTCCGTCCACAAATATTTTGGTTTTATAACATAATCATTTACAATTATAAGTGGACTTCAAATGACAACTTCTGACTTAGAAATTTAAGGGTTTTGTTTTAATGGTCAATTCAGTACATATATTTTTGGGTAGTGATCGTTTTATAACCCATCATTTGCAATGTTCCATTCGAAAAAGGTTCAGGTTGCAAACTTCCAAATCAAAGCTTACAAAATCAAAACTTACAAAATCTTACAAAAGAAAGTGCGTGTACAACTTATGAATCGCGCGTCAACAAAATCTGACGTTCGACAGTGATAATCATATCCAATTATTAGAGTTACATGTCGGTCCATAACGTGAAGTGACTCACACAGATTTGGATGGGCTGTGTTGGTCATCAACAGTCAAAAACTTAAATGTACTTCGCCGTTGTATTCCGAAGCCTTTGATGCGATTCTGGTACATTTAAAAAATCTCCTCTAACACTAGATGTAAGTGTTACCTTTGTCTAAATACTGACCCCAATTGGTTCCCGAGACACAGGTGATATGACTTCGCTGGATGCCACCATCATGCCCAGCGCCATGTTGGCCACGCGTTCTGCGTGCGTAGTAAGAGGTATAGGTAGACCACCGACCACCATATACGCATCGCCGATAGTTTCAACCTGCAAAGTCAGAAATGAATTCACGTGGTAAACCGATAATATTTCTTTAATGTACACTCTCAACAGTCTGGGTCAGATATGACCCGGAATCCTTGTTCTACTTGGCCTGACATGCTTCAGGGTAAAAATGAACTTTTCACGGTCAAAATGACATTTTTTCCGGGTCAACGTGACCCGGAAAATGAGCCAGAGAAGTGTCATTTTGACCCGGGATGTTTAATTTTAACCTGGAAAAGTGTCAGGTCAATCTGAATCCTGATTCTGGGTCAAACCAGACCCATGAGCATTTGTATTAGACAGAGAAAACAAAGGCAACAATGTGAATGATATTCCAACTAAGGAATGTATTTACTGTTTCGAATTTAAAAACTGGAGACCACAAACATCCTTAAGTTTACATAAAACACTAAAGAACCTACACTATAAAAAGTTCCTGGGTCAGATTTAAACTGGTACTTTACCGGGTCAAAATGACCTCTAAAATGATTCAGTTAGGTATTTTTTGACCCAGAAAAGTGTCATTTTGACCCGGAAAAGTGTCGTTTTTATCCAGAAAAATGTCAGGTGAAATCTGACCCGGCCGGATTCCGGGTCAAATTTGACCCGGGACTTTTTGGAGTGAAGTGTTTATCTTTGAACACATTACAAACGTTTTTCCCCCAGAATAATCTATAAAACATTTTGACACGTTTAAGGGGAGAGACGCCATTAACTATAGTAAAAGGTCTCGGCTAATTATTACCTTATAAACGTCGTGGACTGTCGTCAGTTTATCAAAACGTATGTACAGTGCATTCAGCATGTTGACGATGTCGATAGGCCTACACTCGGCACATATATTCGTGAAGGAGACTATATCGCTGAATAAGATGGTCACCAGTTCGTACTCGCCTGAAAATTAATGACAGATCATAGAGAGATGTCAGACTTTGATAACAAGCGTGTCTTATACTTCAAAGTCCCTGCCCAGTTTTGACCCGGATGAGTTCAATTTGACCTCACATTTTTCAAGGTCCAACGACACTTGTCTGGGTTAAAATATCACATTTTTGCCGAGGTTACTGGGTCAAATGACCCCGGAAGAATGGTCCAGGGTAGTGTTATTTTGACCCTGATAAGTTCCATATTTACCCTGAAAAGCATCGGGTCAAGAACCTGGATTCCGTTCAAATCTGACCCAGGAATATTAGGAGTGTAGAGGGACTGTAAGCCAGTGCAACACAGCTATAATAGCAAAACTAAGAGACTGTAAGCCATTTTTATGGATTGGGTTTTCAGTCCCTACCTGATGCCGTGGATTTTCCCCAGTGTATTCTTCTGAGGTTTTCCTCCCACCTCTAAAACTGTAATTTCTTGTAAATGACTCCTATGTACATGTTTCTTCAGGCTTTTGAGCCGCAGTGCCTGCGGCACTTTTGAGGAATCCTTGGTTTCACTACAAGAAAAAAAATAAGTATTTTTCACAGTAGTGTACCTTTGCATTACAGTTATGCAGAGGAGTGAAAGAAGTTAGAGATTTGTGATAAGCACAGGTAATGAATGCAAAGCATCCATAGTAGTGTACATCTCTGTACAGGGATTTTTTGAACAACGCAACTCGGTGTTAACTGCGTCCGTCCCTTCTTCCCCGTTTGAGTTTCAAACAATTTATATCCACACCGTGAACTTGACTCCCAGACACTCACCAGCTTCTACCCTCTTGCCGTCCCGCAGCTGATCAGCCACCTGCCGGGGCAGCATGGAGTGCAGCAGCATGTCCGTCTTCTGCTTCTCGCTCTCCAAGGCCTGCAGGGCCGTCCTCAACTCCTCCTTCTTTTGCTCAAGTTGCTTACCCAGCTCGATCTCGGCCAGACGCTGGTGGTTGAACAGGATCAGGTCGCGGGTGACGTCGTGGAAGGGGATGTCGGACAGATGGAGGTTGCGGGCCTCCAGCTCCTTGAGGCTGGCCACGCGAGGCGAGCAGATGTAGACCATGGCGTCTAGTGAATCCATCCACACCATCTGGCCTGCTCAGTCAAGTATAAAGTAACTCTCTATTTAAAACGAGATTTGAAATCTATCCATCTTAGGCACGATGGTCCTTAATGGCATAGCCACATATTGAGGGCGCTATTAACACCATCCATGGACTGTTCCCGCTCCCATAAATTATAGGGACCGGTAGCTATCCCGTAAAAAAAATTTCAATTGGACAACATTTGCACGTGCGTACAAACGTTCTATTAATATGACGTTCAAATTCCCATTCATGAATAAATTAATGCCAGTGAACACAGTTATTGATTAGTATACTGCGCCTTATAGATAGACCAATTAATAATATTGCAAGAGCAAGCTAGTCAAAGTAAACAAGAGGACGCTCGAATTTCGGGCTATAACTTTGTTTCTGCATTCAACAGGGGACGTTGAACAATAGAGGACAATAGGGTCCCCGATTCCCGAAGGTCCCCAATTTGGCAATGTGTACAAAACATATAGGAGGTCAAACAAAAGAGGGACAATAGGGGGTCCCCCATTGCAGGCAAATACACACTTATGTGTGTGTGTGCGTGCTGAACATGTAAACGATGTGCACGATTCCCTCTACAAACTCCCAATGCCTTCTGTTCACTGAAAAAATATATAGCAAACAAGAAGGTTGGAATGGGCCAACGGATCTGCCCTGTCCCCTAGTACGCGAGACCGACAGAGCATCCAAGCCTTGTTGCACTTGTGGAAAACCCGATATGCTAATTTAATTCCATATAGGGCAGTACTGGTACGTCGAAGTCAGAATCGATGATGGAGGGACTGGAAACCAGTCTAATCCATCCACTCATAGATCATTTTGGTTGGCTGGCGTGGGTGGAGGGTTCGACTTCGCCCTCTAGTGGTGGTTTTGCTATAGGAAGCGGTGTATTTATAGAAATGGGATGTGTAAGCCTATACATTTAATCCTTTGAAGAAAAAAATCCCGACAATTGTAATTTTCCCAAGAAACGGAAATTCCACATACAGCATAATGAGACGTGTCGCCCTGTTGCCATCTGTGCATCATGTGTGTTTTTCATCAAAACGACGAATCACATGCCTGATAAGAGGTAACACGCACCAAGCGAATGCTCTGTTTTTCACAACTAGTCTACATACACGGACGAGTTAAATTTTAATCTACGGAACAAATATCGAGTTGCCACTTATTCAATTCCTAAAGTAAGAACAAGGAAAATCATTCTAAGTATGTCCACGAAATACAGTACCGAATACATACACAAAAAGGCTGTGATAATGTTACAGAAGATTGTGATTATTTCGCAGAAAATTGTGATGGTTTCAGCAAACGCAGTGGTGGATCCATGATTTTCCTTGGGTGTTGAAATTCAAGAACATTCTAAAGGGGAGGAGGAAAGCGTCGGTGTCGGATGAGGTGTTGCAGTCAACGCAAGGGCGTCAATCGCTTCTCAAAAGAGGGGGGTGATATACCTTGATCAGAACTAATGCGAGAGCGAAGCCCTTATGGTGTGGGGTTCGGGGCCTGCTTAAGGGCCCCGAAAAATCTTCGATTCTTGATGCTCTGTGGTGCGATTTGAGGCAATTTCTGACCACTTCAACATTTTTTTGCAACAGATCATCATTTAAACATCATTTTCGAGTTTGGAGTCATTGAATCAGCTATTCTGAGCTATAAAATCAAATCAATTTTTTATTCGGGGACGAAAAAAGAGGTAGGGGGAGTCAAACGATATGATATCCTCCCACTTTAATTGACGGCCATGAGTCCATGCATAACAAGACTGAAGGACTCAGCTCAAGAAATGAATCGACATTTGTAATATTGAGTCTTGACGTTATTCATTGAACTTCAGGAAATTTAGGATTTGTTTGTAATAAATTATGTAAATGATTAACATTAATCAGTCTGGGTGGTTCGCCACCCCAACCACCCCCCCCCCCACCTCCCACCCTTTGAATCCACCCGTGAAATAGACCGATCAAATAAGCCCCGCCCACTGCCCACGTGGTCAACAACACCTGCGCCTCTCCAACGCCCCACCGCATGTTCCAGCTGCGCGCGTCATACGCACGTTCGCGCATGTCGGACTTCTGTGCACGCATGTCGGACATTTACCGTGGCCGTGTTTGGTCATAACATCATGGCATAACGCATTGGTCTATTGTCTATGCATCGAGCAAGTTCGGTTGCGTGACTAGAGTCGACTATTCTTAATCATAGTCGATCTAGATGTCACTCGAACGCTGCGTGGTTTGACTAGCTAGTCCAACTGGATCAACCGTGCCCCGGAGCACTGTTTCTCTAGTCAATTCGCGATTTACGTCACAGTTTCAAGATGGCGGAAAGGCAAACTGGGGCAAGTTTTGTTATTACAGTTTAAATTCACAATATATTGTAGGTTTTGTCATTTTCAATGATAATAGATCTCTGCAACAAGATAATTATTTGTTTTTATTGCACTAAAGTTACGTAGAGAAAATAACAGAAAAATAAACATGACGTACCAGTTTGCTTCGTTAGCAACACGAAAGCCTTTTGTTGATACGTACTTACTAGATTTGACTTATCGATCGACTAGACGCATTCGAGTGAAAAACAGACCATGCGCGATTTAAATCGCATGTTGACAAAAGGTCAGCCCATCCGCGCTTGCTCATAGACCATTATCATGTTGTGGCCATCTTGATTTTTTTTCCAATTACATCAACGTAACCAAAGCGAGGCTGGAAGGAAAAATAGTCTGGTTCCCTTTTACAGAAACAGTATCATTCAGTACTGTCATTTGATACAGGGAACATGACTGAAATGGTGGCAGCATGATAAAGGTCCATTGCCGCATATCCTACCTCGGAGTTGCAGCATGGGCTTGTCGTCACCCCACCCCTGCGTTATGGAATCCCGCCTCGTCTGCAAAACAAACTGCATGTTCTCGAACTTCTGGATGCTCTTGATGCACCAGTCGATCTGCGGGTGGATCAGGTCGAAGAACCAGCTGACGGGGTTGCTCTCCATGCGCCGGAGCTTGGGCATGATCCGCTGGATGTGCACCCCGGCCTGCATGACATTCAGCTCGCTGTCGAAGACCAGGTGGTAGGGGAAGAACTCGCAGAAGATCTGCTGGGTCATCCAGAGCTTCTCCGGGTAGGACGGCACGAAGCTGCCGTAGAGGTTGCCCAGGGAGATCAGTGACTGGTGGATCTTCTGCGGGGAGAAGTGGTTGGTGCCCGCTTCCTTCTGCTCCTCGATGTTGCGAAACACCGCTTGGACATCCTGTGACAATTTGTATTAATTTTAATAAATAAGTTTTAAATTATCACCGTTAATCTGGTATTTTTGTGCATTCGGATGTTCGTTACACTCTACAGGGTGACCCAAAACAAGTTGTGCAAGCGGATATTGTTCAATTTCTCAAAACGTACCCAACATGAGTATCACATTTTGATGGAGCATTTTAATCATACTCTTTTGTATAATCAGTGAAAATGTCATGGACACCCATTCATGTAAGCTAGAGTTGGAGCAGATTGTAAAAGGATATGTGATTTTTTTCAACCATTCTAATGGGAATTTTACATTGCATTGGAAATCGCTCAACCGGCACTCTGCAATACGGGTCTTTTCATTAACTCTGAAAATCACATTGGAACGGGTGAAAAACACATTGCCATTTCTACTCTGTAACTGTAACTCTGGTTTGCATTAATGGATTTTCATCTAATGTTCGCTGTGATTATACAGATCAGTACACACAATATATTCCATCAACAAGAAATGCTGATAAATGATTAGAGGCTTTGCATGGTGGAGTATCGGTATCGTTTCGGTTTGCGGCAACACCGTGTGGTAATAACTACTGCTTGGAAGATATTTAGTTCTGGAAAAAACGTGTCCTGCTTATTATCAACTTTTGCTAAGTAGTTTTAGTTCTGATAAGAACAGTCCTGCTTTAAGTTCTAAAAGAACTTGTCTTTGGTCTCAACGTTTTGACTAGCCTAGTCATTGATGACTAGAGCATGTTCTTCTTATGAAGAACATGCTCTTTTAAGACAAACTTCACTAGTGAATCAAATTTGATTGCTTTTTAAGGGGGGGAAATCATTAATCCTGGTCACTTTCTTTTTGACTCACCCTGCAGAACCCAGATTCAGGGTCAAATCCGACTTATGACTTTTTCGAGTGATTCTCGGGGAAGACCATTTTGACGTGAGCAAAAAAGTATAATTTTAGATAACTCTGTTTTTTCCCCACAATGATGTTGGTGTTAGTAAAAGCTTCAACGTGCTCTGTTACACATTCGCCAGTGTTGTAGTCGAGTCCATCACAAGTCCCTCAGTCTCAAGTCAAGTCAAAAACTACCCATATAAACTGACTAAAGCACTTCTGCGTTATTGTTCATCCTTGTTACTTGCGAATGGACCTGAGTGTGTTGATATGATTTGTGATTTACTTTTGACATGTCGTAATGTACATGTATGGCTTTATTAGAGGACCGACACACAAAGGAAGAACAAACGATCCTTTCAGTCCTCGAGCGTGAAGAATGATAATTACAGGGGCAAAGGGAAACACAAAGTATTGTCCTCGGGCGTATAGAAATTCACGACTGTATGGACTAGTGATGGACCCGCATACAACACTGGAATTCGCATTGCTTAATCCCGCCGCACACGAGAGCTATATGCTGAGCAAAAAGTCATTCGTGGCGGTTTGCTGAGCACGTAGCTCAGAAAATATCATCGTGTGTGGTCAATTTTTGCTGCGTTTTCTGCCTCGCGAGGCCGCGAGGCAAATATCTGTCCTGTTTGATTTTTTCGCCTCGCGAGGCCAACAACTCACCGTGTGCGGGCAACCTGAGCTATGTGCTGAGCCAAACAGATTAACTAGCCAATGGAAGCACAAACTCTGTTCACGTGGTTTCAAGATGGCGGCCCCATGCGAAAGTGTCAGCGACGTTGTCGGCGACTATATTTTAGAGGACAAGCTGGTTGATTTGTGGCTAGATTATCCTTGTTTGTCCAATTTTCGGTTCGGTCACCCGATTTCAAAACGAGGCGAAAAAAATCAAACAGGACAGATATTTACCTCACGGCCTCGCGAGGCAGAAAACGCAACAAAAATTGACTGTACACGGTTATATTTTCTGAGCTACGTGCTGAGCAAACAGCCACGAATGACTTTTTGCTCAGCAGATAGGTCTCGTATGCGGCGGGCTTCAGCGTTGAGTTGAACCTTGCTGACAGGAAGTGGACAAGGGAACATGAATGTAATTAGTTGCTCATCAATGGCACTGGTGATAAGTACTACGCTGTTTATTTTTCAGTTGCCTTACAATGAACCTCTTTGAAGTCAAACCCCATAATATCGTGAGCTATGACCATAACGGTGAAAGAACCATTTTTGGCTGAAACCATCCCGAGTGAACACTCACCCAGGAAAATGGCTGCCACTCCTGACTAACATCGCTAATGGGAGAGCCGGCCTGCTCGCCAACCCACTGTTCTACCGTGGTCGGATGAAGGGGTTTGGTATGGTTGCGAGTGGGTGACAGGTGTAGTAGGTGAAAGGTCAAACAAAGGAAGAGAGAGAGAAAGGAATGCTGACAGTTAAGGGATAGGTCAAGGGTTAGAATGGGGCAGTATGTAGATGCCAAGGGGAAATCAGAACCAAGTAAAATAAACGTCGAGGAAATGCCTCCAACTAGAGCATCTATGACAGTTCAAAACAAAGGGGATGTTAGTACTAAAAGAAAGAAAAGTATGAAGTGGGAAGGGAATTATTCAGAGTGCAAACACGCAAAACTAGAATTGGTCGGTGAATTAGTAAACTACAAAATAAAAATTAAAATTAAAAAATGGCAGGAACTACGTCTGCTAGAACAGAAAGGAAAGAAAAGGGACATCGGGTGGAGTCTGCCGGCTCCTTATTGCAGAATTATACCATTTTGAACAGTTTGACAAAATGTCGTCCCTTTGGGAAAAAACATCATTATAAGTACTCAGTATTAAGGGAATAAATGTGTGCTTCGGTGGTTTTAAAAACTGTGTTCAAGACCGGTTGGAGTCTGGATGCTGAGAGTTACCCAAGCCGAATGTGAAGACTATTATCAGCATCATTTCGGCTAAATTATTTCGGATGAATCGGCCTATAAATGTGTGCTTCGGAGGTTTCAAACACTGTGTTCAAGACCGGTTGGAGTGTGGATGTTGATAGTTACCCGAGCCGAAGGCGAGGGTAATTATCAGCATCATGTCGGCCTAAGTATTTCGGCTAAGTCGGCCGAGGTAACATACCGGAATACCACGTGATGTTTTGCTCGGCAAAAATCCGAGTCGAAATTTACCTTTGTGATAGTAGAAAGTTTTACACAAGCGTTTGCACCAACAGATGAAGCTGAAATTTGATCTATATTTAGATGATATCAGTGCTAAAGTACTCGTGAAATAAAACCTGTAAGGATTCCTAGTCATTGAGATAAGTAAATAGATTTGGGGACCTTTTCGAACGATTTTTCCACGATTTTTAGGCAAGCTTTACCAGTGACCAGTATTGACGTTTCTGCATCAATAATTGCAACTTTTTCACTGACATGAAGCTTATGATTTGTTCTAATATTATAATTTAACATTGAAATTAACTGAGCATATTTCTTTCAAAAACAGAACGTTCAAAAAGCGATGTTTTCTGGTGGGCGCAATCAGTTCACTGCTCTGTCCGTGGCGTCCAGTTACGTAATCGGATTAACTATGCCTATCAATGCACGACGCAAAGCCTTGGCAACCGCAAGACTGCATTATTATTATTTTCTTAATTAAGCTTGGGCTGAATGCCACATTTCACTGAACTCCCGAACAATTACCTCCTTGTTGAGCTGCTGTTCGCTGTGCTTGCGCGACTGCGCGACGAACTTGGGCGGCCCTTCGTCGATTTTCCGGATGCGTCTCTGGTAGATGGCGAAGGTCACGTGCTCTTTCTTGCCGTTGCGCTCCTCCTCGTGCGTCTCCTCAAGCACCTCCATCTTGAGCTCGCTGTCGAAGAACTCCTTGGCCACGGCTCGAACGATACCTGGCAAAGACCATAAGAAATACACAACACCAAACAGTTACAAAATGTTGCCGAGATTTCGTGCCCGGTACTCAATCCTCTATGGTAATTAGAGCACTCATGCTGTTATCTCTATTTTGAATGTCAAAATTTCACCCGCGCGATTTTGGTAAAGCGTGAAACTGTTGGATTTCGGGAAGGAAATGGCAGTTTTTGGGAATAGATATGGGACTTTCCATGAAGTTGGGAAGTTTTTTTGCGACGTTCTGACCATGGGCGTCGCCAGGATATTTTCCAGAGGGGGGCAAAGCACATTATTTCCCCAAATCCTTGTACTTTCTCTAGCATATTCTCAATTTATCATGTTTATCATTTAACTTGTTTTCAAGGGTGGGCGGGGCGCAAATGTTTTTCCCAAACGAGCTCGAACAAAATCAAAAGAGGGCGCTCTCTCTGCGTTATGCATATTCATGATGTCCAGGGCTTTAGAGAATAAGTTATATAACAAGGAATAATGGTGATTCGAAGACTTCTTCTCATTTTACCTTTTAAATAACTAAAGTGAGGAACATTTGTCACAAGACGTAAAGCCCATCTTGGGTTTGTGTTGTGGAGAACAATGCATTAGATATGCATGTAATGGACCAATCAGAAGATGGGAAATGGATGTCGTTTGGGGAAAAAAGATTCACGGGCGGGGCCGGGGGACATTTGCCCACTTCACCCCCATTGACACCCTTGCAGACGCCCATGTTGTTAATATGTGCATGAAATTAACAGCAATATGACTTCGCACCTCTTTGTTTTCTCTCTCTTTTCTTTGTCCTTCTTTTTTTTCTTTTCCGGGGGGGGGGGGAGTCCCCCGCTCCTGGCGACGCCCATGATTCTGACATATTTGTAGATTGAGTGACCGAAAGTTATTAACAATGTTTCGTTTTGACTGCTCTACAGGGCGAATAAAAAAAACGAAACCCAAATGTCGGGACCATTGTTTTAGTAAAGTTCTGCATGTAGCACTTTCAAAATCTAGGATATGAAAGCCCTATTCATAAGCTTTCTTTCAGTACAAAAATCATTCAAATCACTCATGTAGCTTGCTTGCTTGACACCACATTACAACTATGGGGCGCTGTTTATGATACAGATGTACATACAGGCGCCGATCAAGAGGGGGGTTGGGGGTCGGAACCATCGGACACCTGACACCCCCCTGCAAAAAGCAAAAAAATCCTGGATCCGCCCCTGATATATGTATACTTAAGCGCCTAAACCTTACATCAAAACGGCGCATTTAAAGCTTTTGTACTTTTTCCCCGCTTTTCAGTACTATTGAATTTTTTTTTGTGGAAAGTTCGAAACATACCTAAAATTCAGCTTTTTTTCTCACCACGAACATTGGGGGATGATCCAATGACCCATCCCCCGGTCAAAAACGGGGGGAATATACCCCCATCCCCGGGATTTACTCCCCTGTTGCTTTAATATTGACAGCAATTGAAATTTAAACTTTCTGAAGTCTCCATGGAATCTAGAAGTCCAATATAGCTCTCTACTACATCTCCGAAAAGTTCGACACCCTGTACTGATAATGTGAATGACCGCTTGCAGGTAAAAAAAGAAGGAATTATTACAGTAACGAATTCAATGCTACTAGACTTTGCTATCGATTCCCTCAAGAGGTTCTTCTTCAAATATCATACTCACAGAACGAGCTCAGTTATCAGATAAGCAAGGTAAAAAAAAAATCTCTGAAATATTCGTGCGATTGGCATTATAGCGCTGCAGTGCAGTGCGCCTAGGAAAACAAAATTATGGAACCAGAATCGATCTGATCACAATGCGCGCGAAGAGTCAATGTATGGATTCACTTCAGTTGATTGAATAGTGCGGTTTTATGTTACAATATGCAGGAAGTAAGGGACAATGCTCCCTTTTTACACATTAAGAGTCCATTTGATTTGCAACTTTGGCAACTTCCATCCTTCAATGCAAAAACTGCAAACCTCAGTCTGCAATGAGAAGAACATTGAACGCTCTGCAGTTGGGGGCGTGCTCCAAGAACAAAGAAAGCACTTGACTCATAATTATACTGTGCCAGAAAAAAACTAAACCTGTCTATTAAGAAAGTTAAACCTATAGAGAGTTAACATTAAGACGACGTATGTTGAGATGCTACATCATCTCCACTGTGATGTATGCAGCAGAAACCTAGACTATCCATCAAGAATCCTGACTTGAAGCGCTACAAATGTGGTTCTACCGAAAAATGATGAAAATCTCCTACAAGGCTAGAGTCACAAATGAAGAGGTTCTAAACAAAGTATGAAAAAAACACCAATGAACGACATAAAACAAACAAAGTTACAATATTTTGGTCACATAATCCGAGCCGATAGTCACCAGAGGCAGCTCTTAGAGGGAAAGGTGGAAGGAAAGCGGAAGAGAGGACACCCCAGACGCAAGTGGACAACAGACATCTTAGAGCGGAGCGGCAAGACGTATGAGGGATGTGTGAGAGCAGCGCAGAACAGACAAGGCTGGAGATCTCTGATTGCGCACCTGCTGGCAAGCGGAAGGCACCAAGACTGACTGACCAAAGAAAACATGCAGAAATTGGATAAACAGAGGAAGATCGCCCAGCGATTGACCTCAGTTGGTTCACTGTATGAAAAGTGTTCTGTTGAAAACCCATAAGATTATACAAGACTCCTCTGTTGCGACTGATAATGTAATAACCAACGGATCACGCATCACCAAATTATAATGTAACGAAAATTGCCGATACCGTATCACTAACCAATAATGTAACAAAAACTGACCGATAGTGTTGTAAAATGTGCTACACAATCAGTCAATTTTTGATACATTATCGTCCTAACCGATAATTTAATAAGGCACAACATAAATCGGATTCCAGGTTAAGCGGGAAATTTTATTTGTATCGCATCTCGATGTAGTCCTTGATAACTTTGGAAGACGAATATCTCCACTCCAGAAAAAGACTACATCGCTGGAAACAAATATGACTTCCTCATTTGGGACCGTCGAACGCATATCTTTAATGATATGTATATTTCTACAGCCTGGGGCTGGTGTAACCCCAGCCTCATCTCAAGCCGTTTATTGGATTATCGGACCCTCACTTGCAATGTACATTTTGATTAGACGCAGCAAGCCCAGGCAATGCACTCATTTAGCCACCCTTACGGATATAATTCCTTATCCCAAAACTCAATTTCACCTCATCATCACTCTAATTCTACGATAAAAAAAATTAATTGGCTCTCCTCCGAGGATCGGAAGTCCAAATTGAATACAGGCGCATTTACTTTTTAAATGTCAACACAAAATAGGCATTTCATAATACATGTACATATTTTGATCCGTTTCTTTAGAAACGAATACACAAACGATGCATAACAAGACTAGGTAGGCACTTAGTAAAGCTGGACTCAAAGTGCAGAAAATCGGGAAAAAATGTTACAACCTGACGCCACTTCAGCGGTTGTGTACAAAGTCTATGGAGAGTCAAGAAAATTTTCTAGGTATTTCTTAACAAAATTGCATATGTTTCTCAATCCCAGATTCATGCCTTATCATGATTTTTGCAATGACTGACCTTCATTGAGATGATATATGAAGAAAAAAGTGGCGTCAGGTTGCAACATTGTTTTCGAAAATTAATTTGGCTTTTCACTGCAAGTCTTTTCATACATCTGGTCCACACAATGGGCCGGATTTAGCCCATTCATTGGAGTTACGGGTAATCCTATACAATAGCACTACCCGGCCAACACGTAACAGTCAGTCAGTGAGTCAGTCAGTTGCTTTACCTAGATGAAGAAAAAAAGGATATTTCAATAGCTTTTCCCCACGTGCTGCATCTCTTTGAAATTCCATGTCCGATGCTTGTTTCCCTCCAACCTATGATCTCTTCTGTTTCAAGAGGAATGTTAACTCCTTCCTTTAGTTTTCCTGAGTACTTACTCTTCTTTTCATTTCTCTTGTAGCCCAGTATACCTTGAGTGGCTTTTAGCCTTGTTCAGAATAAATATGCATATAAAAGTCAATCAGTCAGTGCAGTCAGCCATTGAAATAGGTACAAAGATTACACAAGGTTGGCCCTCTGGGCCCAGAGATTGGAAACTCTATTTGTCTAAGGTTGTAATTGATATTATGGATCAAACTGGTGTTTTTTGTTCTTTAATTTTGTCGTTGACATACATCCAAGCAAGCCAGTGTAGTACATTACAACATTTTTCGATATGAGGCAATAGGGGAACGGCATTTACCCCCCCCCCCCCAAAAAAAAGACCCAAAACTATCTTTATTTTCACGTCAAAAGTTGATTTTCATTGTGTGTGGGTACTTTACGCATTCACATTGTGGGCGTTGAACAATAGAGGACAATAGGGTCCACGATTGACCGAAGGTCCACATGTGACGATCGTGTACAACACATATGGAAGGTCTTCCTAAAAAGTTCGAGTACAAACAAAAGAGGGACAATTGGGGGTCCACGAATGAAGGTGTTTACAAAGAAGTGTGTACAAGCATTACGTTCACCGCGTAGACTTCCGAACAAAAGAGGTCCACATAAACCAGGTAGCAGCGACGTTGTGTGGACTTGCCCACGTCCACACAGTGTTTCCCCCTTTCTGGAAAACAGTTAAGAGGCATTTTGGGGCTAGGTTTATTTGTGGCGAAATGAAGAGTAACACTAAACGGAAAGGGTAAAATGAGATTTTTCAGAGGTTTTTCTTAGCTACACGAAAACAAAGGCATGTCCCCACTAGGTACGTTACGTAAACAGGGGTGTGTGGCTGAGTGGATGGGGTTGTTTGTTCACTTGCTTTCTCTCAACTATAATTGTATTAATTTGTGTTATTGTTTTAAATATAAAGCACCATGGATGAAGCGCAACAGATTAAATGTAAAATTACTCCAACCATTTTTTCGTCTTAATCCATTGCTACATTATCCTAACTAATATATCTTTCCTCCCAAGGTTAAGATTTCCT